CAGATGGGAATCACACGTCTTGCAGTTGAGGGTGGCAACGAAGTTGTCATACATCAGTGTTTGGGTAAATGGCTTTGTTGGAATGACGCTTCGGCCGGATACCATCGCAGTGTCATGGCACTTCTGGCCAATGTCGACTGAGCTGAATTCAGACACTTTCGCCGGGCTCTGAACCGACGCGCGCACCAGTTGGCAAATGTTGGTATACATTTTTTTGTTCCTGAGTCACGCGTAGCGTCCTCCAGTCCTGTCATTCGTGTTCTTTCTGTTGCCTGGATGGTGCTGAGCTTGGTACCGGCTCCCCCGCCACTGTCGCCATCGACGGGGCTTCCCGCCCTCGTCCGATAGCAACCCTTCACGCGACATTACTTCAGGATATCCAGGGCTCCTTCCTGATGGTGCCGCGGCTTTCGTCCTCCACTTCAGGATCAAAGCGTGCCTGGGTTGATAGCGATCTTCTTGTTGGTCCCGATTGTCCTCCCGATTCGTCCTCGGCAGCCGGGTCCAAGCGTTCACGGATTGAAGGTGATCTTCCCATGTGCCGAATTTGTCTCCCTTATGTGGTTGCGCGGGCGGTGCGCCGTTGTCCTGCTGATCTTGCGCGTCTGCCCAGACTGGCGATGGTGGCGTGGTTCCGTCGCCCACGGCCCATCGCCGTCCTGCCGAGTTTGTCTTAGGCGTTCGGCGGCGCCGTCTGAGATGCGATCTCGGAGCAAATGTCGCGTGGTTGCGACTAACAATTTGCATGCCCATCGGGCCATGCTATTGTCGACTCGAATGCCGTGCTGGTGCTTCTTGCTCAGCGATGTCCTCTTGGAAGGTTGGATTTCGCACTGGTGGGTTCTGATGTTCCGGAGGCGTTCGATCGAGTCAGACACTCAGTATTGTGGAGAACATTTGAGAAACTTTTTGAAACGCAATGTTGTTCCAGCGCTGCGGGCGTGGATGTTTCGACGCATCCGACAAGCATCTCATCGAGAGCGGCTGCGTGGGCGCCAAGCTTGGACATCCCAAATCGCGATATCGCTGCCTCAGGGTAGCAAGTGGGGGCCAACATTCTGGGCAATTATATTGAAAGACTGTTTATCGCACGTTTGGGTTACATGCAGGCATTTGCAACTGGGTGTAGTTTCACGCGCAATCACCCCGCGCGCAGCGCCTGGTGCCAAATATTGCCGGACTTGCCATTTCAAGTGTTCTCATATATCATTCTCATTGCTGCTCATGGTATCCGCGACGCGCGCCGCATATTCGATCTACTTGGCGCCGTATTGCGCGACCGCGGATTCGATCTCTCAGCGAGCGCGGTGCGTTGGATAAGCCAGAACCAGAGCGACTCCGAGCATTCGTGGCCGGGAACGACATGCGAGGGCCATGGCCTTTTCATGCGTTGCGTTGGCATTTACATAAACACGAATGGCCGCGCCGGAGAGGACATCCGAGTCAAATCATATTCCGCGCGGAGTGCCGTCGCTCATTCATCGAGTTTTTTTCCTTCCAGGGCACCTTCTCGGAAGCAGCGGCGTGGACTCATCAACCGGATTTGCGCGTCCACGTCCACGTGGTCAGCTGGCGAGTGGACCTGCAATCCGCAGGCCGCCCAAAAGCTGCGACCAGTCCAGAATGGAGCTATGCCGCGGCGCCTCCGTCTTTCCCGGCATCGCGATGGAGCTGATGAGTATTACTGTCGTCGACTGAGGAACGTCAAGGTTGAGAGCGGCTTTGCAGATCTGGACGCGGTAACTGCCCGGAGTACGTATCGATATTTTGGACGCGTCCGTCGGCCCATGGACACTTCCCCAGAGTTGTTACTGTGCCGAGTATTCAAATGGCATTGTCATTCGGAGGGCCGTTCAAATTTGCACAGAGTTTCGGACAGACAAGGCCATGGCCGGTTTTCACCATGGTATTACGAAGCACAGATGACATCATTTTCTTTGAGCAGTATCGGAAGGATTGCATGGCCGTTGCATTATGTACCAAATTATGGAACCGGTTACGAGCCATAGTGGCTGCACCACACGTTAGGCGGTATTGGACTGAAGGCAATCTTGTAGACCGCCTCGACTGTTGGGGCCGATGGAGCACCTGCTCTCTCAGATCGGTGAACAAACAAACAATTATCAGGAACTTGTGCACAAGCATCATCAGCATCACCATCATTATCGTCATCAGCGTCATCACTATCACCACTCACTCATGCCACTATCGCCCCATAATCCCCATCACTCACACACTCGCACGCTCGCGCGCACACGCACGCATCACACACAGACAGACACACACACACACTAATCAAGACCATGGGGATGACAACGATCAGGACCATCCTCATTCACTCACTCGCTCCTCACTGAATCACTCGCTCACTCACACGTGGGCTCCTGGGGCGTGAACCTGGGGGGAGTCTTAAGCGGGGGCACCGTCACTGAGTGACTTGCACGGAAAACTCAGGCGGGAGCCCTCTCCCTATGGGGTCCGCGCCTCACGTTTTTAATCCGAGGTGGGTCACTCGCAAAGCTGTAACTGTCGTCGCTATTGGCTTCCTGGGGCTTCGAATCTAGAGGGAGTCTCAAGCGGGGGCCCCGTCTGTGAGTGAATTGCGAGGAAATATCAGGCGGGACCCCCCTCCTCATGGGGCTCGCGCTTCGTGTTTTTAAGTGTAGGCGGTCGTTCGCAAAGCTGTAACTGTCATCACTTTTGGGCCCTTGTGGCTTGATGCTAGAAGAAAACTTAGGCGGGAGCCCCGTCTGTGAGTGAATTGCGAGGAAATATCAGGCGGGACCCCCCTCCATATTGGGCCCGCGTTTCATGTTTTTATTCCCAGTGGGCCATTCGCAAACTTGTAACTGTCGTCATTGTTGGGCCCTTGAGTTTTGAATCTGGACGAAGTCTCAGGCGGGGGCCCCGTCTGTGAGTGAATTGCGATGAAATCTCAGGCGGGTGCCCTTCCTCTCTGGCGGGATGACGTCGCTGACGAAGTAGACCAGGGCGCCGACGGCGCTGACAAAGTAGACCAGGCCACAGCGCGGGCGCGGATCTTGTTCATGTCCAGGCCAAGCCCAGCGAACACGAATTCACGTAGCAGAGCTCGGGGCCGCACGCCGTGCGCCGCACGGGGTTCACCCTGACGCACGCGTCCTAGCTGACCTCCACGCTGTCGCAAGGTCAAACGCTGCGCAAGGGCGCCACCATCGACTGTGCCAGGGATGAGGACGCGGGCCGCGCGGGCATGTCGGACGAGCAGTGGTGGCTGCACCGCTACGTCATGTTTTCCCGCGCCACGTGCATGCGGAAAATGTTGATCCTGCGGCCGCCCTCGCGCGAGTTTCTGGAGCGCGGGCCGCTGGCGCCCTTGCGGAGGCGCTCGAGACGTCCGACGAAACAAAAAAAAAAAACGGAGAATTCAAGGGATAGGCCGAGCAGCTCGCCGCAGATCTTGGTTTCGTGTTGCCTCCCGCTTGCGCGCCGCGGCGCGCAACTAGAAGCCCGCGGGGTTGGCGCCCCGGCAGCCCGATGGTTTTGGTATCAACGGCTTGGCCTGCGGGGTTGCCCCGACGGCTTCGCGATCTGGCGAACGATGCGGCGACGGTGCCACGACGAAATCAATTCGAGTGCCTTTGCTAGAGAGGCTAGGGAGGAGGTTGTCTGAGGGGAACAGGCAGGAGGACGAAAAGGGGCAAGAGCAGGGGGCGGGATGGGGGCCTCCGCTAGGGCAAAAGGGTGAAACGCGATGACGAACCGGGAAGAGAGCTCCTGCATTCACAAGGACGACGATGAGGTTTACAACCAGATTCGCGTGGGAATTTCACTCGGGGTCCCCCCTTCGGAGTCAGTGACCGTAGATGCTACTCGGGGACAAACTGCATGTCGTACTACATACAATGTGGTGGTTCATGTGGACAAAAGCGCTCCTCCCCTTTACAGGGTGTCCCCGACCTCGGGAACACATCGGGCACATTCCGGTACCGACTTCCAGGGCTGCCCTCTGAGCAGCGCCGCCGTTGGGAGCTGAAGTTGCTTCGGTGAACGGCCCCACCCTTCGCTGCCGCCTCGTGTGCGCAAAACACAGCACGCCATCAACGTTTCTGCTTCGGTGCGTTTTCAGGGCGCTCAGGGCCCTCCTTCGACGGCGCCTGGAGGGCATACCCGCGTGGGAAGGCACAGCAACAACACCATGCAATGTTTCATTCGGGTGCTTGCTCGGCACGAATACTTTCCCATGAATGTCGTGCCAAAGTTTGAGATTATTGGGACGTATGTTTCAGCAGCGCGGACCGTGTTCCCAAACGCGGAACGTCTTCCGTCCAGGCCCCGACGTCGCAGAGTTTTGGCATTACTCGTTTCGGACAGATGCACACTCGCCATGTAGGACCTTCCTGACCTGGCCAGGGTAGCTCGATATATAACACCCGTCCGGGGCCCAGGTACTTCGCCTGTCGTCGAGGCGCTGGCATCGTATGCCTTTCGGTGCAGAGAAAAATGTTAGACCGACGATCTGGAGCTTTATCGGTCATTTCATGGTACCGCGGCTCGCTCTCCTCCTGCGTCCTCTCCTCCTCCTCCCTTGGGGTTTGGGTTGGTGGGTCCCTCCCTCTCCTCCCTTTCCCTGTCTTCTGGGTTGAACTGCGGTGCTACATCGAAGCCCAGGGGACAATTGCGCTCTCGCCAGGTAGGACCTTCCTGGCCTGGTCCGGCTCGCTCTTTTTTTTTTTTTTTATATATATATATATATATATAGCGCCCCTCCGGGCCCGGGTGCTTCGCCTCTCGCCGAGACGTTGACGTTGACATCGTACGCCGTTCGGGGCAATCTAAAATATAGATGTATATCTACATATCTACATTTCAGCAGGTGTATACATACCTGTGCATACGTATACACATGTTTGCACGATGTGCGGCACGACCTGAAGGGGGATTGCGAGGTGCAGCTGAGAGTGACAGACAATATTTCTGTCACCGGGTGGTGTGAGTTGTTTCTGGTCGCTTGTCGTAAGTATCTAAACGACGACAAGGTCAAGGCCTATTTTCAGTCGCTCGACCTCGAGATATCCCAGGCTCACATGCTCTTCACGCTTCTGGACACAGACGGAGACGACGAAGTCGGCATCGACGAGTTCATCGATGGCTGTATGACCTTGAAAGGGCATGCTAGGACCATCGACGTCAAGTTTCTGGCGCAACAGGTTCAGATCGGATTAGAGGAAATGACCAGACGGGTGAACGACAAATTTGACCGGCTTGCGGGTGGCGAACCTGCGTCGCGCAGGAACAGCCGCGTGAACGTGAGACGGAATTCCGTGTCCCAGCCTCCCGCGCAGCGCAGCGAGAGCACGTGAGCGGCATGCGCGCCACGTGTTCGGAATTCATACGAGGCAGACGCTCTCCCTGGGCCTCCTGCAACAGCAGCTTGCATCAAATAAGAAGACAGGGCCGTGTGCTTGTTTAGGGAGCGCCGATGGCGCGAATACTTGTGCCAGATTCCTTTCTTACTGTCCGTGCCCCCCGCATTCCCTTCCCGTCCCTTCCCCGATCCTCCCTCTTCCTCCTCCCCCCCCCTCCCCCCCTCCTTCTCCTCGTCCTCCTCCTCCTTTTTCTCCTCCTCCTCCTCCTCCTCCTCCTCCTGCTCTTCTCTTCTTCATCTCTGCTCAGCATCCTCCCCTCTCACTCCCGCGAGGATCATGGATCGAGCTTTGCCACTCGTTTTTGGCCCTGGGTGGGCCTTTGGAGGCATCGGCGGAGGCTTCTGGGGACCTCCAGAGGGGCGTTTCCCTTCTTCTGGCCCCCTCCTCCTCAACTGGTCCATCCTCGTTTCCAGAGGGGCACGAAGAGGGTCGCGCACTGCGGTTTCTCGCAGCGCGGAGCGCGAGATTTAGCTGACCTCCGGAGTGTCTGTTTCCCGCTGCGAGGCCACTGTTTTGTGGCCCGCTTTTTGTGGATTCGCTTGCTTAGGTTTACTTCAGCTTGCAGAAGCAGCGCCTCGAACGCAAACACCATCTCAAGTTTCTCCTCTTCGCTGCTATCCCTGTCCTCCCCTGAGGCTGAGAGTGCACGAGCGGGAAAGACAGACAGCGAGAGAGAGAGAGAGAACACACACCAAACAAAGGGAAAGAGAGAGACAGAGAGAGAGAGAAACATAAGGGATATGTTACAGAGATAGAGAGAGAGAGAGACAGATATAGAGAGAAAGAAAGAGAGACACAAATAAAGAAATATAGCAAACGAAACAGAGAGGGAGGGAGAGAGAGAGAGAGAGAGAGAGAGAACAACAATAACTAAAAAACGCGAGAGAACGCACCTATGAGGGCGGGCCGAGGTCCGTCCGGGTACGCGGCGTGCTAGCGCCTGCTGCGTTCACCTCTGGGGCCGTGAAGTTTCACGTATGGACGGCAGGAGTGGCAAACAAGAGACCTGGCGCGGTAGAAAAGAGACCGTGACTGGAAATCAGGAACGGGATGTGAGATCAGGGTGACGATATTCGCCCCTACTCCCCCCCCCCGACGAGAGCGGCACACGCTTGAGACGCGTTTGGGTGTGCGCGCCACGAGGCCCTGTGAAGTGAGGGCGCCGGCTTCGGGCACTCCCCTCGGCGGCCCGGTGCCGGGTCTACGGAAAATATTGCCAGGTGTTCTCGCAGGGCACGAGGTGAGAATAGTGATGGGCCTGTTTTCCACCACCACCACCGTAAGTAGGAGGGGGTAGGGGGTCGTCCTCTTCTTCCGCCTCCTCCTCCTCCTCCTCCGCCTCCTCCTCCTCCTCATCCACCTCCTTCCCCCTCCAACTCAGCCGTTCTGGCCCAGGTGATCTGGGCTTGCTGTCACTGGCTCTTCAGAACGGCTTGGTGACAGCGGGCCATTTTGGCTACGCCACTCCCCTCCCATCACGGCGCCGCTATGTATTCCAAGGCCTCGCGCTGGGCTTGTTCAGGCGCTCGCTGCACTTGTACTGGTTGTGGTTGCAAGAAGAACGATTGGGCTCAAGGGCGGCGCAAGCATTGCAAGCGTTGGTAGAACGATCCCCCAGCCAGCCCCCCAGAGGGTACTTCCTCGACCACTGCGCGCGGCGACGCCACAGCCCTCCGCCGCGAGGCTGCAGGTGTGGCCGCTGGCCAGTGCGCCTCGCCCACGCCTGCCGTCGCCTCCGCAGCACCCACCACCGCTGACTTGGACCAGCTCGTGGCACTGGCCGAGAAATCTGGGAACGCCGCCATGGTCGCCCAGGCCAAGCAGGAGCTGGACCGCCACGATGCTGAGTACAAGCAGGCTGTCGCCGAGCTCCACGTTACGATGGAGCCGCCAGCCGAGAAGGCGCCCAAGGTCTCGATCACCGAAGTCCTGGATGGGGCGCCTCGCAGGCTTCGAGGTGGACGACGACGACCTCTTCGGCCTGGCGGAGTACGTGGACGTGGCGGAGCGCGACATCCAGGAGGCAGCCGTTCGCACAGCGTTGCTCGCCACCACCTTCAAGGATTCCTGCCCCCGCCTCTTCGGCGAGTCCCAGGAGAAGGCCAAGAAGCTCAAGGCAAAGCAGGCAAAGCAGACGGCGTGGCTTTCGGGGAAGAAGCGTCGCGCAGCAGAAGCTGCCAGCTAACATGACGGAGCTGCTCATCCACCTCGTGAGGCCGACCCGCCGCCTGCAGGATGGCCCCACGCAGCGGCAGCTGGCCAGCTCTTTCGCGACTCCAGCGAAGGGCTGTTCAAAACCGTGCCGCTTTCTCCTAGATTTGCTGCTCCCGCTGCCCCAGGCACTCCGACGGAGTCTGCGCCTGCCGCGCAGGCTCTTCCTGAGGCCGCCCCGCCTTCTGGCCCCCAATGTCCGCGAGCAGGCCCGCCAGGCCGTTCAGCGGGGGGGCGCAGCAGAGGGGCCCCCTGGAGGTAAGCCAGCTGGTGGATAGCACGTCTGTGGTGACGAACTCCTCTCCCTACCCCTATGATCTCCCCCTGCCCAGTTTTGGATGCCACGCGGAACGCGTCTTGTCATCGCACGGAGGGGGAACAGTGGGACTCGGCGAGCATGGAGTTCGTCACCGCGAGCTGCACGTCGTGGGTTTCGATGATGCAGTTCCTGCCCCTGGCCACTGCCCACGTGGTGCTGCGCCAGGAGCGCGCGCTCATCGGCGCCGAGGAAATCCGTGTAGCACAGGCTTGGTGTATTCGAAATGGTTTGAGGTCACATTTTGAACCAGGCACCCTGGGCCCAAACGGTGGACCCTCGGCTGTCGTGGCTGTGTTCGCTCGTTCTTTCCTGGGGTTTCACGCCTCCGATTTCGGTGCCTGTATTAAACCGAACCGTGCCACTGGAGTTCTGATCCACCTTCCAGGTCAGAGTTCGTTCTATGCTGTTTCGGTTTGCCTCCAGGATTGCTGTGTTGGTTTGAATGATTTCAGCCGGGACCTCCTGGCCTCGGCGGCCGCTAGAGCAACAAGTGTTCCGAGCCCCCACGTCATCGGGGGCGATCTCAATTTGGAACCGTCGACCCTGGCTGCGCCCTATCATCACAGGGGGCTGGGCTCCCAGATGTTGTCTCCCTTCGGATGTTTTAGGGACCTGCCGCTCGACAGCAGGAGTCAGGATGTACGACTGCCTCTGGCTAGGCTGGCGCAGGCGGTGGCTAGTGTCACGTGCATCGGCGACTCGGGACTGACTACCCACGACCCCGTTTCCCTTGCCCTCCACCCCCAGCTGTCCCACCTGAACGCGTTGAGATGTCACTGACCTCCCCCCTCCCTGGGACCCCTGCGGAGAGGCCTGCGGGGCCCGCCCCTGCCCCCCTGAGGATTGGGGCTGCTTGGGTCGGCTGTCGGACAAGGCGCGCAGCACGGCGCTGGAAGGCGATCGGGACCGTGCCCATTATAACCTCGATGTTCTCTATTGTGAGTGGGCTGTCTTGGCTGAGAGAAAATTGGCGACTTTGTTCGTTATATCTATATATATATATATATATATATATAGATATCTAGACGCGGGCTTCCGTTCGCGGGCAGCCGTGGCCGTCGGGCTCAGTTGCGCTGGGTGGACGTTGTGAAAGATCCCGCGGTTGCCAGTTCTCGGTCGGCCACGTCTCAGAACGCTGCGCAGCTTCGCTGGCTGCGCAAACGATTCCGCCTCTGGCTTCAGCTCCGCGCGATTGGAGACCTGTCAGTGGGGGGCGTTTTTGCTGGGTCGCCCCCTGATGGGCACAGCCCTTCTCAGGGGGCTAGCGGCCCCGTCTCTCGTCCACATGTTAAGCTCAACTCTTTTCTCGCGGTCGAGGCTCAGAACGCAACCGGCAGGCAGATGCTGCCCGCTGGCTTCCAGGCAACTTCGGGCCCCGAAGGTCGGAGGCGCCGCCGTGTGCTAGACGTGGGAGCTTCCCTGTGCACGCCGCCCTCCAGCTTGGGCGAGTGGTCAGCCGCCCCCCTCGCGCATTTCCGCTTGTGTCAAGATCTCGCCAAGAGGGGCGACGATTAACTACCTGGGCGCGCAGGGGGCCGAACATGTTCTCGACGTTGTTTCCAGCGGCCCTTAATTGGTTGGCGTGGATTTGCACCGACGTCGAAAGCGGTGCCCGCCATGCCCGTGGAGTTGCGCGTGGCAGCCCAGGTTGGACCCCCTCCACCACCCTGACTGCCAGTGGTGAGGTCGTGTCAGATCCTGGCCCCCTCCTCTCCTCGGAGCAAGACAAGTTTGCGCGAATCTGGCATGCGCATGTTGAGTCCCCCCCCCAAGTCTCGGGCAGTAAGTTCGACCCGATCGATCCTCTCCCTGCCCATTCGCCCGATGACATCCGTCGGGTCGCGTGGTCGTTCCCCTCCCGCGCCGCCTCATCGGTGGGTGGGGGTGGGTTTTGCGGACAGGACTTCCAATGGCTCTCGGATGAAGCTCTTTCTGTGCTTGGGCGCGTCCTTAAGCTTTTCGGGAGGTCCGGCATGTTCCCAGGGCAGATGCGGATTGTGCTGCTGATAATGCTTGCGAAGCCTGATGGGGGGCGCCGACCGATCGGCCTGTTCGCGGCGGCCCATCGTCTTTGGGCTTGGGCGCGTCGCTGCCGCGCCAAGACTGGGGGGGGGGGGGCGTGCCCGCGAGTGCTTTGCCGCAAGCTCTTTCGCCTCCTCTGTCGACGCCGTCTGGCGGCAAAGCGCGCGGATCGAGGTCGGGGTCACGTCAGGTGAGCAGTCGTGCTCGGTGCTCTGGGACCTGTTGAAGTTTTACGAGGCGGTTGACCTCGACCTGCTCGGCGCGCGTCGCCGCCGGCATAACTTCCCGCTGCAGATCAGTCGACTGCGCATCGCCGCTTATAGATCGGCGCGCTAAATGTCCATGTCGGGCAGGGTCGGGGGACCGCGGTTCGCTTGGCATG